TGAACTGCTGATCTAGCAGTCAGCTGAAGTGGCCTGCAGTACTGCACTCTACCCACTGCGCCACCTCGGCTCTTCAAGCTGCTGCATTTCCCACCCTAGGCTTATACTCGAGTCAATAACTTTTCCAGTTTTTTGTGGTAAAATTAGGTGCCTCGGCTTATATTCGGGTCGGCCTATACTCGAGTATATACGGTACACATTCCAAGAGAGGATTGTCCTGTGTTCAGTCTGAAATGTACAACTCCTTCCTTTGAAATAGGCCTGCTTCACCCAACAACTTTCCTTACTGCATAAATAGTTCCCAACTTTCCATTTCTGTGTCCATATATTCCGATGCATCAACCACAACTGCCTCTACCCGGGAAATTTTTTTAAAAAAATCCTCCAAATTGGCTTGAAAATTATTATTAGGGATATATTCTCTGAAGTATCAAAATCCAAACTATCCCTGAATGAGGACAAAAATCTCCCTTTGCTACCATCTAGTTGTTATTTGGAGTTTTGAACTCTACTATAAGGAAGGCCCTTAGGGAGTGGTTTTACAATAAGCATGAAGCAAGAAACTCAAGAGTTGGTACTTTTTGTATTTCTTTTTTCAATTGCTTGGAAACTCAACTATATTTTTCTTAGTGAAATGTTTGGAAATTAAAAAAACCATGCCCCAAATTAGTATTGTTTTCAACTCTATTTGCCAATCAAAGACGCAAAAGTCATTTTTGATTCTATGTATACATAAAGGAAGAAACATAGAGAGGACTTCTTTTTCTTCCCACATTGAGTTAAACCTTCCAGAAGAGGGCTGCTACTCAGACAGTATAATTCTGCATTTCTCTTCAGAGTTACTGAATGGAATATCCTCCTAGATCCGTGATGGCGAACCTATGGCACATGTGCCAGAGGCGGCATGTAGCGCCCTCACTGTGGGCACACAAGCCATCGCCCCAGTTCAGCTCTGCCGCGCATTCATGCGTGAGCACCTCCTGACAGCCAGCTGGCCTATGGGTCTCTGCCATGCATGTGTGAGGCACGTGTGGGGAGCTGTGTGTGCATGTGCATGGTCCATGGCACGTGGTGCATATGCATCTGGAGTGGTGCACATGCGCAGGGGCCACACCGCATTGCATTTTGGGGGTTTGGGCACACAAGTGTGTTTTGGGCATTCGGTCTGGAAAATATTAGCCATCACTGTCATAGATGATTGAATATAAGATTGCAGTCTTAATCTGGCCCTCAATCCTCTATGCATTTATACAAATTAGGTTTGGTTTGGTCCTGTTTCCAAACATTCTTTTGGACTGTGGCCCATGGCATGACCTTTAAAGGCAAACAGTCATGCTTGAAAACTCACATCTACAGAAATAATATTTTCCTCCTCTTTAGATTCTGAGTACCAGGAAATTCTAACCAAACTGAAAAAAAAGGTGAAACATAATTTCAATCTCAATGTGTAGTCAGGTTTAAGATCCTTTATTAGGGATTGCCTTGCATTGATAAACCTGCTGAAATATACTTATTTTTCTCTTCTTATTGCCTTCACAGATAGTTGGCTGGGGAACCACATTTTGGGTGACTTGATCTCTTCTGGGCAAGTGAGGCCAGCCTCTGCAGAATTGTTGTTGTAAGTAATATTTAAGGAATTTGTGGAACAAATTTGCTTGGGTTGTGGCTGGGCGTGATCTTGTTAAATTTTCTGGGGAAATTTTGATTCTATCAGTTCTAAGGAAGTCCCTAGGACTTTGATTATTGTTATTTAAATTTCAAATGTCCCTCTTGGTTAGTTAGGAAGTTAGGAACTCCTGGGAAGTACCGGTAGCTGGATCCAGATGATGGTGAATACTTCTTTTGAGAGGGGATGACTTTGCTCATCTTTAACTCTACATTGAGATTCTCTATGGATTTGAGGTGGGGTTTCAGCCAGGTGCAATTTAAGGTGCTTGTTGTCATCTTTAAAGTACTGCATAACACAGGGATCACCTCTCTTCAACAGTGTCTGCCCATTCCATCAAATCTGACACAGTGGGCATGTTGTGGGTCTCTCCATAACAATGCCACTTAGCAGGATCCAGAGATATGCCTCTTCTCTCATAGCACCTATCTATGGAACAGCCTCCTTGGTGATGACTGTTTGGCTCTGCTGACCTTCCAGAAGTCCTTAAGACCCTGGCTGAAGAGCAGGGTATTAGTGGAGCCTGGTGTGTGATTTCTGCTCTGTGAGATGGTTTTGTGAAAAACCTTGGTTATTGATTTATTTATAGATTTATATTGCCTTATGATTTTCATCCACATGCTTGGCCAGCCCAGAGTTACTTGTTTAAGTATGGGCATGTACATTTTCTATATGAATATTAACAGCAATACTTCTGAATTTTTCAGTCTGAAGGCTGAGCAAAGGATTTTGATATGGGTTGGGTTCTGGCAACTGGATGTGAACATGCTGCTGTTTGACACGTAAGGTTCTATGATTCCTACCCTTTATATTTAGATGCAGTGTTTTTATAGATATAAAAGATACAAAAGTCAAAATATCACTATTTTTCAATCTAAACATTAGGCTTTTACTGCTAGTATCTGTGCAAAACAGAGAAACCAAGCAGATACATGAAAATCTGTGAGACACCAGCACCAATATTATGGCGATAGAACCTTATCATTCTATCTACTTCATTTTGGCGATATTATCTGCCTTTTAAACCCATATTATATGTTGTGCTGAAAGTTATGCAGTGAGCAGACATTACTGGAGGCAGCCAGCAGGTTGATGATGAAAGTTCCTTTTTGAGGCTTTGTCAGACCTTATTTAGAAAAGGGCATTTCCTTTGCTTCATCTTGATCTCACGTCTGTGCCTGCCCAGTTGTGTGACTTAAGGAACTTTGATTTCAAAAGTATTTGTGCCAATGATCTTTCTATCCATGGATGTTCAGTGGATCAACAAGAAGCTTGGCTTTGAAGCTGCTCATTCAGTTGCCTTGGCTCTACTTAACACCACCTGCTGGCCTATTTCACGGCAGCCCCAATTTTGGGGATAGTGGTGGTGGGGAGTCCCTTCAACAATCCGGCCTACCAGCAATTCCACACATGAGTCAGAGAAGCTGCAGGGAAAAGGCTCCAGCATTCAATTAGCAGGTAAAATCATTTTGCCCAGCAGTAGCAATCTGAGAGCCCGGGAGAAGGTGATGGAGATCAAACGGTGAAACAGACTTTACTGTTTCACAGAAGCGAAAATAACTTGCGTTTTTTTTTTTTAAAAAAAAACACCAATCCATGTAAGCCCCCCCCCATGTTCTCACCTCTGGTTGCAAAGCTGGCAGGCAAAGCAGTCCAAATGGTAAACGTTATCTCGGGCCCTCATCACCATCTCAAAGGCAGGGATCAGCTTACTGCAGGCAGCACAATTCCCAGTGGTCCCAAAGAGCCTGCCAAGGAAGCACAATCGTTAGAAGCCAGTTTAATTAAATGGTGGAAGGACTAATTAAGTATAATTAGTAGTATCAAATACTGTATTGCACCAATCAAGAGAAGTTGCCATCCCCATTTCTCTGACCAGCCAGCATGTGGGAATGGGGGGCTGATCCTGCACGGGGAGAGAACTTCTGAGTCCTTTGAAGTTTTGGAGCTGCCAGCTAATTGACTGTCTAATGAAGAAATCCATTCCACATGCAGACAAAGTGCTATTTTGAGGCTCACAATGCTTCCATCAAAAACAATACCATCTTTTCAACTCAAATTAACAGTGTCTTAGCAGTACATTTTTAAAGGATTCTAGCTGCCCCTCTGTTTTCTAATTTGCTACTCCTTCATTTCCTACTGATTAGTTAGCTCTCTGGAGAAAATATGCAAGGTTCATTTTGGGATATATGTATGACTCCTTCTAATCACTTTCCATACATGTTGATTAGATTAGATTAACAGACTTGGAAGGGACCTTGAAGGTCATCTAGTCCAACCCCCCGCCCAGGGGACCCTACGCCATTTCCAACAAATGGCAGTCCAATCTCTTCCTGAAAGCCTCCAGTGATAAAGCTCCCACAACTTCTGAAGGCAAGCTGTTCCATTGGTTCATTGTTCTCATTGTCAGAAAATTTCTCCTTATTTCTACGTTGAATCTCTCCTTGATCAGTTTCCATCCATTATTCCTTGTCTGGCCTTCAGGTGCCTTGGAAAATAGTTTCACCCATTCCTTTCTGTGGTAGCCCATCAAATATTGGAACACTGCTATCATGTCTCCCCTGGTCCTTCTCTTCACTAGACTAGCCATGCCCAGTTACTGTAATGTTCTTCGAATATTTTAGTCTCCAATCCCCTAATCATCCTGGTTGCTCTTCTCTGCACTTTTTCTAGTGTCTCAACATCATTTTTATAGATATGCTGTGTACCTCAACAAATCAAAATAGATAGGCGTACTTCAATGAATTAAAATAGAAATTATATCTGATATTTACAAAGAAGTATTAAATAATTTCCAATGAAGTAGTAGATTTTAGGACAATCCTATGTGGAAGAACTGTTATGAACAATTATATTCAAATTGATTCCTGTTTCAGTAACACAATATTAACCTGGAAATGCATCCTTTTCTTTAAAAAATGCTAATAAACCACACATTCTCTCATCTAATTAAAGACTTACCAGAGCATGGCTGTATTACAATCAGGAAATATTTTGAAAAAGAAAACCCCAAAAGCTACTCAATGACTCAACATATGTTGGAGAAATCTGTTTGTGCTGACTCCATGTAACTATGTTCACAATAACAAGGCTCAATTATTTAATTGATAATTAATAATCCAGTCTGCAAATATTAAAATATTATGACTTTCAATTTGGAACTGCCATTTAGTAAAAATTAATGCAAAGGAAAAATCTACTTTCTATTCTTTGTTTTCCTCCAGAGATTCACCTTTGCATCATTGTATTCCACATGACTCTGGTGATAACTGGTAAAGACAATGCCTCCTTCAAACTATTTTGATTTACTATCTCGTATTGCATGACATTCAAACTATGGTTTGTTCTTTCAGGACCTCCCAGAAATCCTTGAAGTTCACTGTAACATTTCTAATTCAACAGAAAGCGCCACAGGTATCACAAGCAATCTGGATAAAGAGGTAAGTATCTACTGATAAGCGGCACAATTGTTTAAACTGTGTTCCACAGACACTAGGGTTCCATAAGATCGTGGTGGGTTCCACAAGGAATGAAGAAAACTTCATTCAGATGCAGATGATTTTCACTCATGATAGCATTTCCTCTTGATCATTCTAACAATGATCTTATACCAATGGTTTTTTGTTTAAATTTTCATTGCAGAGCCTTACAAAGTTTGAAAACCTCTGCTCTACTACATCCTAATGGGGTGCATGCAGACATTCCTTATCTCCAGTTAAAAGAAGCATAAATAATTAGATCCATTAAAATTTCTGCAGCCGTCAATCAAGAGAGCCAATATTGGCCACGTAGTAGGATTAATTTTAAGTTTTACATCAACAATATGGTACATTCATATGACACATTGCTTTACTGAAAAGATAATGGACAGATTGGGGCCAAGGTAATTATTTAAATTTAGTTTCTAGTGCAGTGAATCAGATTTTATGTTTTCCTTTCGTGGTATATCAATAGGATCTAAGTATAACTAACTTAGATCTAATCCAGTATAAAGCAATGTATTATTTTCACAAGTGTGTAAAAGCAATAGTTTGCTACTGTGGGTCCCACACATGTAATCTCTTACTTCTCCATCCATTACAACTTCAACCTTTTTGAGATCTTGCTGTTACTTTAAAAGCAAGGTATGGAGTCAGAGTTATTCTAAACACAATTTGATGATGCAGTAAAGACTGGAATAATTACCCTGTGACAAGATTATACTAAGCCGTTCATTCAAAGTACCCAGCAAACAAAGTTAGCTGGCAGCAAGTAGAATTTTCATGCCATGCACCTTTTATTTAAAAAAAAGAATCTACCACACTTTATCAGAAATGCTGCCCAGTTTAAATCATGTTTAGAAACAAAAAGAGCTCTAGAAAAGAGAAGTGAGATCTTGAAGCTGCCTTGGAATGGACATAGTCTTCTGCATTAGAGATATATATATATTGGACTATCTAAATCCGTGATGGAGAATCTATGGCACAGATGCCACAGGAGCCCTCTCTGCGGGGATGCCAGCTGTCACCCCAGCCCAGCTCCACCACATATGTGTATGCACCTCCCACTGATCAGCTGGTCTTCAAGGGGGCACATGCGGGGAACATGCGTGCACATGGGCGGGGAGGCAGCGTGCATATGCAGGGGGGCTCACATTGCATTTTGGGGTTTTGTGCACAGGCACACACACATACACTGTTTTGGGCTTGGAAGACCTCCTGCACCAACCTGGAAGCCAAAAAGAGGTGCGGGAGCACCATGCAAGACCCCCACCCCATTTTGGACCTGGAAGCCAAAATGGAGCAAAGGGGGTTGCCCCACTTTGGCTTTGGCCAACCTAGAAGCCAAGATGGGGCAAAGGGGGTTGCGCATGCACCCCGTGTCCCATTTTGGACCTGGAAAGCTTCCTGTACCAACTTGGAAGCCAAAACGGGGCATGAGGGTGTGGGGCACATGCGCATGGGGGGGGGAGGACAAATATGCATGTGTGAGTGCATGTGCAGGGGGTGCTCGCATTGCATTTTGGAATGTTGTGTGCACGCTTTGGCACCAAAAAGCTTAGCCATCACTGATCTAAATTATAGTAATTTAAATAAGACCACAAATATGATATAATCTCAGACCTCAAGCCATGATATAGGATTTTTCCTTTCGTTTCTCAGGCAAGCGCTCAGGTCTGCCATTTCTGACCTCTGGAACAAATTTTAAGACTGGATAGGAAGTCACCAAGTAGAGGGAGAATCTATTCTTTGGTGAGAAGAATTAACCCACAAAAATGTGAAGAAGGTATACAGATCTCCCACCCAACCTTTTTATCATTGTGTTCTATTTCCTCTTTTGTAGTGCCTTTGCTTTTGAGTTGATGTTTATCTGACCCCTTTTGTAAACCCGGATATTTTTAAGAACTTCTAAAAATGTCAAATTGTTTGCCAGGCACACTTAAGTTGCTACCTTCTGATTGGCAAGGTGTCTCTGAAATACTTGACATTTCTTTCTGCCCTTGTGAAAATGAATGCAACCGATTGTGAAAACAAACAGAGGGATCTTAAGGCTGTGATCTTAAACCCACTAAACTGGAAAAGAAGTCTCTTCACCTGCATCAATTAAATATCACTGACTCTAGACTGAATATCAAAGTATTCAGTAATAGAAGTAGTCTTGGACTGAAAGAGAATTAGATCTAAAGACCTAAAGGGTCCTTTGAATTAAATCCAGGTGACATCAAGGATATCCATCTTATTTTCTTTCCCACCAAATATAAATGGTTTCTATGTCCTTTTTCCAGGGCCTCCAAGTCTAGCCTAGAGCCCTGAGATTCTAATTGTTTTCATCCAAGTACTAACCAGGCCTGATCCTACTTATCTTCCAAGTCCAGACCAGATTGTCCTGCTGAAATCATCAATTGAGACCTAATTCTGACAGAAACCTTGGTTGGTGTATGTTAGTTGAAATTGTTTTACATGCCCTTAGAAGCATGGTGGGTGAGGTGTGTCCCAAACTATATTTTCCTGACACGGGAAACTATGTGCAAAGCATGCAAGTGCCATTTCATACCGTATTTTCTCATCTGTATGGTGTGGCCAACTTCACCATGGCCAACTCGGCGCAGTCAACTTGCCACGGCTTGCTCATTGTGGGATAACTTATCATAGCCAATTCATTGCAGGACAAGAGTTACACTAATATTGAAGTAATAGTGGAAGAAAATCATTAAAGAAAGAATGCAAAAGGAGGGACAAGATAAAATGTGAATCACAAAATTTAATTTTTCAAATTAATTTTAAATATTTAAAGTGAATTGTTGAATTGTCCTGCACTGAGTTGGTCTTGGGGATTTGGCCATGCTGACTTGACTGTGATGAGTTGGCCACACCAAGTTGTCCCATTCTGTCTCCGCAACCTGCACAAGCACTTCCCTAAAACATTATAAACAGTCTCCCCAACTTTGAAGTTAGTTTGTCTTGAAGTTCTTAGTTTTATCAACTCCCAGATTGATTTTTCTCTCTAATCATAATTAAATAAAGGCTTGAGCATTTTTGTCAAGTGTCAAAATGGAGCATATAAATATTATTTTAGGAATGTGGGTATAAAATTAATTCTAGAGCTACTAGTATTCAGTTTAATCTTGCAAAACAAACCTGCTTTTTTTAAACTGCCTTTGCTCTTCCAAATACTTTCAACTACAGATAGTCTTCAATTTATGATCACAATTGAGCCCAAAATTTATGTTGCTAAGTGAGACAGTTGTCAAATGAGTTTTGCTCCATTTTACAATCTTTCCTGCCGGTTGTTAAGCGAATTGCTGCACTTGATAAATTACCGTAGTAATATGGTTACTGGCTTCCCCATTGACTCTGCTTCTCAGAAAGCCTAAAAAAGTGATCACATGACCCCAAGATACATCTGTCATAAGTATGAACCAGTTCCCAAACATCCACATTTCGATCACATGACCATGAGGATGCTGCAGTGATTGTTAGTGTGAAAAATAGTCATGTTTTTCAGTGTGGTTGTAACTTTGAACCATCATTAGATGAACTGTTGTAAGTTGAGGACTACCTGTACCAGGTGAGATGCCTTAGTACTCCTACTCCGCATTTATGATTGGGGAACTGATGAAAGCTCTGAAAGCATGATATTTGAATAGAAAAATCTGTGAGATGGATCCCTGGAAGCTTAGATTGTATTTCAGAGGACCTTAAAAGCAATGTACCATTAACTCCTCTATACAAGACTGAAAATCTACATCAGATTCTTTCCACTGATCCATTTTCATTAGGCTTTCTTGATAAAGTAATTATAAGATTTACCATGAAATTTGGAGAAAAACATTTTTGTTGACTGATATTTTTTAAACTAGCTTCTATCTAGCTTAGGAGTGTCAAACTGGTAGCCCGTGAGCCAGATGCATCATGCACAGGCCACGCCCACCCCGGTTCTGCAAAGGCAAAAAATGTCATGATACGTTGTGATATGTTACGTGACACAGTTGAGTTTTGATACCAGTGATCTAGCTTATAGCCCTGGGATTTGTTTGGTGACCTTCCCTCCAAACAATAAGGAGATGCAACCCTGGTTTCAAGGTCAGCCAAGTGCTACCACCTGTCAGATTGTATGAGAAAAGTCAAACTTGGTTTTACTTATCTCCCTCTACCCAGGGACTATTTATATTTGGAGGAAAATGTCACATCTCCAAATATCACTCTAAATCACGAAAAACAAAACCTAGAACATTTTGAGTGAGCTGATCTCACTTGTACAAACAGTTTGACCCAAAATTGTTTACCTTCCAATTATGAGTCAGTGAATATCTCCCTTGTATTTTTATTAACACAGATGGTGCAACATTATTATTAAGATGATCTTAATGTTTGGGTCTTGATTAAGCGCACGCTTATAAAAATCTCCTCTTTTCTTCTATCATTTAAGTGTAGTTCACGCCTTTATCTTAAAATGGAACATTTTTGTATGGTATAAATTACATTATTGATAGACTACTATGGGAACAAAAGAAAAAAGCACACATGGCATTTATCTTGTCAGCTGCAAGATTTGTACTTTTTTCATGTATGTAGCTTTCCTGCTCTATAAGAGATTGTTGAGGGACAAATCTTAAAAGGTTTTTAAGATGACGCCAACGCGTCATCCCTCTATTTCCTGGCAAACTTGATGAAAAGTTTCATGTTCAAAATCAAAATGTTACCCTTTTGATCTTTTAGCGCATCCATGTCAGTTAGATTACCATTAAAAACTGCTGCCCTATATCCAAATGGGAAAATTAGAAGCAAGCTAATCCCAGATTTGTTCAGACTGCAGTGCCACTCCGTGTGTGAACATTAAAAAAAAAATCCATTATTCATTAGCATCACAGTTGTGTGGAGCTCAATCTAGATTAAACAAAATAAAGAGACCCCAGACAGCACCATCTGCATTGTTAAGCAGGCATTTTTCGTCACCCTGTGAATTAGCGGCTTTTCTAAATGGAAATGAGAAATTTGGACAGATGTTCACTTAACTATTTAAACAGTTCATCTTAAGAAACATGAAAATGTATTTGATCCTGGATTCACCTGCCTCCTTCCAGGGGCTTTGGAGGAGGGGAGAGAGAGACAGCATTAAACAGCTTTGAGTGTTTGTGTAAGATTTAAGCCCTGTCCAGCTGCAACCATGTTACTTTTCCCCCCTTGTTTGTAACAAATGGAGCTCCAAGCTAGTCAGAGGCAGCTAATCTTGGTTTGAACACAGCCTTCCAGCTTTTCACATATGAACATTTGACTGTTGTTCTTGCACTACCAAATTCAATGCCTCTTTTCAGAGAAAGCCATAAATGGTAGAGTTCCTGGTATTTAAGGAAGCAGCAACAAGATGCAAAGAGAACTGGAGCTGTCAGCTAGTGGACTTTTTACTTCTTTGTGCCCCTCTGCCCCAGGAACAATTCTGATCAGCTAAATGTTTATTAACTAAGCTAGATAGAATAATTCCTCTGGAACAAGTGGATTGCATTCTTTGTTAATTATTCTTGATCCCTCCATCTTTATGGATAATAAATTAAGGACCGTAAGTGCCTTTTCCTCGCAGAGTCTGAGTTCACATGGTGCATTCAACTACATTATATTTTAACCACAATGGGTGGCTAAACCATGCATCATGGTTTTTAATCCAAACTGGCTAAGCTCAGACAAAGCAACCACTTTATAGCTTAGCGTGACTTGGATCTTCAGTCGTGCTATCTAATGGGAGTTCATGGAAGAATTTTTTGCCTCCTTTTTTCATTCTCCTGTAAGCAGTGGTGGGATTCAGCCGGTTCGCACCTATTCGGGAGAACCGGTTGTTAACTTTTTAAGCATTTCAGAGAACTGTTTTTTTTGGAAGAAATCTCATTTTGTTTTTTTCCCCTTTACAGGGCTAATCCTGTAAGGAAGGCAGGAAGGAAACATTCTGGTGTTGTTTTTAGCTTAATCTTTATTGCCCTGGTTACAGAAACTGCCTAACTGGTTAACCCTTATTACATTGTAACAGCTAAGGTGAAGCGCCCATTGACGTGAGTGACATTGAGTTGGCCACACCCACCCAGTCACATGACCACCAAGCCCCACCTACCCAGCTGGTCATTAGGGCAGATAATGATCGGTTGTTAAATTATATAAAGGGCAGATAATGACCGAGTGTTAAATTATTTGAATCCCACCAGTGGCACACACACACACACAC